TGCTACATCTTTTTCCTGCTTCCTAATCAAAACCATTTTCTCATTACCCTACATACCTGTTTTTTTCCTCTCCTTGAAGTGTTGGTTCAGAACCCAGATTTCCTGAGAATATTTTTATATTTGATGAAAATAATTGTTACTATTGCTCCTCCTACTACTACTATTGCCACTATCACCTCACCATGAACTGAGTCCTCTATGTGATTGACACTAAAATAAGCTCTAAAAACATCTTCTACTCTTGCATTCAGGCTGCCTGAGTCTAAATCTTATTTCTGCCACTTATTAGCTGCGTGATGGTATTTTAGTCACTTAACCTTGCGGTGTCTCAGTTACCTTGTCTGAAAATTGGGAATGTTAATAGTGTATCTTTCATAAGATTTTTGTGAGGTTTAAATATGAAGTATTTAATTTTTTTAAGATTTATTTATTTATAAATAAATAAGTCAGGAGAGGTCTGCTGTGTCATGTGGGTAGCTCCCTGCCCAGCTGGGGGCTCAAACTTGTGCTGCAGAGGCTGTGGACAGTTTCATAGGTTGTGTCTTAACCCCTTGCACCACCAGGGAGACCCTGGCCTGTTTAATTTAAACCATCATCATCATCCACGGTATTTTTGCTTAACATTTATCAGAAGCTTAGTATGTGGCAGGCATGATTTAAATGCCTCACATTTAGGGGCCTCCCTGGTGGCCTAGGGGTTAAGTCTCAGTGCTATCACATCTATAGCCTGAGTTTGATCCCATGTCAGGAAGTTAAACCACATGTGGTGCAGCAGACCTCTCCTGTCTCGCCGCTGCTCCCCTTAGCAATATATTTCAGTAAACCCACATGTTCTGCTTCCTACTCTGTCTCTGGTGAATCCTTTCACCCCCCACCCCTCTAGTCTACAGCACAGTTCTTCTATGCAAAAACAAATTTAAAAAATTAAATACTTCAGGCTTTCCTGATGGCGCAAGGGGTTAAGCACTGCATTATGAAGCTATCCACAGCCACCGCAGCACAAGTTTGATCCCCGGCCGGCCAGGGAGCAACCCACATGGAGCAGCAGACTTCTTCTGGCTTGCCCGCTGCTCCCCTCAGCAGTGTACTTCGGTTGGTCTGCCTGTTCTGTTCCCCACTCTGTCTCTGGTGAATCCTCTTATCCCCAACACCTCTGGCCTGTACCCCAGCTCTTGTATGCATAAATAAATAAATCTTTTTAAAAAAATAAAATAGGACCTCCCCTGGTGGCGCAGGAGGTTGAGTGCTGTGCTGTGAAGCTGTTCACAGCCTCTGCAGTGCCGTTTCGATCCCAGCCGGTCGGCGAGGGTCCCACATGGCTTGGCAGACCTCTCCTGTCTCGCCTGCTGCTCCCCTCAGCAGTGTATATCGTCAGTCTGTCTGTTCTGTTCCCCACTCTGTCTCTGGTGAATCCTCTAACCCTCCTGTGCATCTGGCCTATACCCCAGTTCTTGTATAAATAAATCTTTAAAAAAAAATTTTTAAATAAAAAATAAAATAAACAGGCCAGGAAGCCAAATTTCAGATGTTATTTTTGCAAGTGCTCAAGTTAGCTGCTGCATAATTACCTACCCCAAAATTTAGTTTCTTTAAATTACATTTTATTCTAGCTCATGATATTATGCATTAGGGGTTTGGTTCAGAATTTGCTAGCTGGTTCTTCTGTTCCATCTGACATTGACAGGGGCATAGCTGGTGGGTAGACTGAACTAGAGAATCCAATATTGTATTATTCATATAGGATATCTGGAGACTGGGATCAGCTGGGCTCTTATTTATCTCCATGGTTCATCAAGCTCTTTCCACAGAGTCTCCCCATCAGGTTAATCAGATTTAAAAGGGAGACTCAGTGCTCTAAGAGAATAAGCTAGAAGTTAGCATCCTATTAAAGGCTAACCTGAATGGTGATAGAGCCATTTTCTGTACCCTGCTGGTCAGGGCAGAGTCCAGTCCAAATTCAAGAAGAGGAAATACAGATTCTCCCTCTTGGGGGAGGAGCATCACATAACACAGCATCTTTAATCTGGCACCCCAAAATCCCATGCTACTAAGTGAAGTTTAAGTCAGATATTACTTAAAGTTATTCATTCTAAGGTCTAGCACTTATTAAACATTCCAAAACTAGTAGCTGTCAATAAATGGAAATCTTTATCTACCCAAACCAAATGCTGTGCTCTCAGCTGTATGCTTTTCCCACTTCATGGAGACAAAAACCTTGATGAATGAAAAGCCTGAGCTTCACCAGGTTGTTAACAAGATCTGCCCTTGAGCATGTCTTTTTTCCTTACTCAAGCCTGAATTTCCTCAAGGTAGGGATCTAACTTCATTTGAATTCCTCACTGTGCCTAAAATAGTGCAGTATATTTAATAATAAGCCACCAAAGTCATTCAACAAATGTTAATTAGTCACAAAACTCTAAAAACAAATGTTTAATAGGATGTTGTTTTTAAACACATTGTTCATTCACTCCCTCGATACACATTTGTTACATTTATTAAAATGCGTAATCTCTGTAGTGAGAATAATAGATATTGGTAGATGCAGAGAATGTTGGAGCTGGAAAGGAATGCAAAAATCATGGTATTTCACCTACTCATTTTGCACAGAGAGAAGTCAAAGTCCAAAGAGCGTGGATGATTCTCCAGTGGTGACTCGGCTAAGTCAGAGCAGAAAGTTCAGTCTTATGACTCTCCGGTCACTGTTTTTTCTGCTATATCATCTGACTCTTCCCAGCACATAGTAGTTATTCTAGTCCCGTTCTTAAAATTAACTGTCTAGGTTAACAGTTTAGGAGTTATAATATTAAATTTGAATTGAAAATGAGTGCATGGTTATGTCTTTTTTTTAAAAAGTGCTGTCCACTGAAAAGACAGATGCAGCAGCAATCCAATGACAATGAGCATCCTTAGCCCCCCAGTTAAATTACATATGATCTAGGAAGAAATGACCTAGGAAGAAGAGCTCTTCCCTCTCTAGGGAAGAGCTTATTACTTTTCCTTATTACTTTCTTTACCTTATTACTTTCTTTTCCAGCTTCTAGTGGTTGCCAGAATCCTTGGTATTTCTTGTGGCACATAAGCCAAACGTACTTGAGGGCTGGTGAAATTATTCATCATTTTATGCAATATTTGATAAAGTTGCTATGTATTAACTTCCTTGCTTAAAAAGACCCTAAGATGGTTTGATGATCTGGCTATTAAGATCTTGAAATTGTGTTAAGCAAGGAATTAAACAAGACTGTTTGATCCTTCTAAGTTCATCTCATTTGCACAACTCATGCTTTAAATTTCTTTGGAAGATGAAGAATACCCAAAAAAATACAGGTGCATGGGAAAAAGTTTCCTATGGATTTAATGTGAAATCATACATTTGCTAGTCTCCAGTTCACATTCTTCAATTTCAGCATCCAGAAATAGTTATTAATTAGGGAGAGATTTATGTTCTGATTTTCCCATTGTTTGCTAATGTTCTTAATCAACATCTGAATGTTTCCTTTGAGAACAATGTTCTACAGAATGCCAGTAACTGGACTGACAGAACATCAGTGGTCTATCAGGATCCTGTTTCTGTAATATTCTTTTCTGATTAGACTGTCCTAGAGGGATAGTAGAAGGGATATGATGAGAACAATATTGCTAGCCCATAAAGCAAGAGATTAATAATATCAATAAAAAGATTTTATTCTAGAATCCTTGTCAGAAATACCATACATTCTCAAAAATAATTAAATAATTTGTCAGAGTGGACTTCACTAGTCAACCTGAATAACTACAAATCTTATAAATTTAATACTTTTACCTAGTCAACTAAAAAATAAATTCTTTAAATTTCAAACTAATATTTAGTTTCTTCCAAGGCCCCAAAGGAAAAGTGGAGATGATTTAATTGTAAATGACTTGGATAACTTTTAATCGAATAAGGTGAATCATTACTGGAGTTAGTGATCTGCTGCAATACCAGTGATGAGCAGGATGAAGCTAGAATCACTGATAGAACCAATTTATATATTTTAAAAAACTTTTAAAAATTCCTTATTGAAACTCTGGAATGTTTCTCTTTTTCTTTTATGTTTTATTGTTTCCACTTTTTTCTCTAAAATATATCAAGATCTTACTAAAATGAGGACACACTTCTTTTGCCCTAAATGTCTTATATTCAAAATATGCAAATGTAAAAGCAAATCAAAAAAACTCCTTCAGTTTTGGAAGGCAGACAACGTGAGAACTTGTACAGTATCTAGTGTCCTTCCACAAAAACCTTTTCTTTCTTCATGAGGGCCTTTGATACTCTGTCCTGGAAAACCAATGCAGAGTATTATACAATTGGATAATGTGTGTGTACTGCTCTGTGAGAAGTTGGCAGAAAAAGTGAGGGAAGGAAATAATACTTGTAGTTTTACAAGAAAATAATAAGGTCACTGCATGTAGAATTTTTCTTTTTGTCAAGTCTCAGTACCCATCATTTTTCTAAGATTGGATTTCATCTGTGCTTCCATACTGGGTAGGAAAATGTCACATTAGTTCTATCAGTTCACCTGCCTGTGACAATCTCAAGATCTTAAGAGCCAGACCACCAAACAGGAAATAGTCTTGGAGATCAAGTTTCAGAAGCTATCAGTCCACAAACCTTGCTGGCCTGGAATATTTTCCAAACTCTGCAACACTTGCCATTATAATATATAAATTTAACAAACATTTTACAAGCTGTGAGACTGACCCTTGAAAGCAGACCTTAGATCGAAGACACTCAGGAGGGAAGGGGGAGAAGAGGGAAGGAGAGAAGGAGGTGCTGAGCAGGGTGGAGTGTGGTGGAGGTCTGTGGGCACTTTGGTGGTGGGAAAACTATGGTGATGGCACCTGAGAGGGGAAATCCTACATTGTGAAAAAATAAACAAGGATATTTCTTAGAAAATAATTAATTTAAAAACCCTGTCCTTTTATATAGAACAGAAGTGAGATATATCCTAGGGAAGTTCATTTTTTCAATTTATTTCCTTTAGCCTTCATTCATTCAACTGACACAAGTAAAGATGAATATTATTTTTCTTCAAAGAGCTCTTAGGGAGGTAAGTGAACAACCACTAAGATATGATGTGACTTGCAAAGAGATGCATCCAGTTCCAAGTAGGACAAAACAGCTCCACCCAAGTGGAAAAACACATTTAGGGCTCTTCAGAACAACTGGGACAGTTAGCTCTGATCTCAGATAAGGTGAGCGAACAAATCCCCATTCCACTGGGAATTTGTTCTTCTATGTAACTTTCTGAATCTTTGAAAGCCAAGTTCTTCATTTTCTTCCTTGTTCTTATTCCAAGGGTGAGTAACTTTGAGTTTGCTCTACCATAAAACCCTCTTTCTAAAGTGCATTGGTGTTCCGGTTGGTTTTAAGTAGAGTTCCACAGTCTTTGTTTTTCGTTTTGTTTTCAGTGCTGAGAGGAGGTGAGGGGAAGCAGGACTGCATCTCTTTAAGAAACTTTACCTGCTAGTGAGTAGAACCACTCATTGACCCTCCTCGACCTACCCAGCCTTCCAATGCCATTCAGTTCCTGTGTCCTTTATAGGACTAGAGAGAACAAAAAGACTCTAGCAAGCCTACTCCCCACCATTGGTTCTGCTCTGTCCTTCACATACTCCGCTGCCCCTTCCTCACTTTCTGGCCTCAGTTCTTTTCCACCTACAAAAGGTAGGTTACCCTGCTGACCTGCTACTGCCTCATGAGTGTGGATGACTAAGCACTACAGAGTCTTCACCTTATTCTGGCATTCATAACTCTCTGATCTTTATATTTTACTGCCTTTTTTTTTTTTTTGTATCAGACACTTGCCTTGCTCTTGAGTACAGAGAATTGTATAATGGAAAGAGGTTTTAGAGACAGTCAGAACTGGGCTTGCCTCTGGGCTGTGGTATTTATTAACTGTGCAACTTTGAGAAAAACCAAACCTCTTCAAGCCTTAGTTTCAAATATTATTACTCTACAAGGTTTCTGTGAGGATTAAAAGGAATGATGATGGTAAAGCACCTAAGATAGAGTACAGTTAAGAAGCAGGACCCAATTTTATGATTATTTGAGTGCACTCTCTGCTACCATCAGGGCTGGATATGTCCATTGTAGGCATTTATTTGCAGTATGTTGAGAAATATGCAAAATTATGAGGCTATAATGTGGGGTGCACAAGAGCACTACCCTAGGGCAGCTCACAGAGCTCACCAAAAGGTCAAATTTGTACACAAATGATTAGGGTAATAAGTGTTCATACCACAGTAGAAATAAAGACATAGTATTTTGGAAATAAAGGTGATAAGAAGACTCTGGCCTGCAGTTTACCAGAGGGGAATAAACCTTCTTAAGTCAGAATTCCTGAAAGGGAATTATATTCATAGTTTTGCTCACTGTAAATATCAAAATTTTGATAGAAGCCCAATTAACATAATTATCAACAATGAACTATACAAGGTGTATACTATTATCCACATCTTCCTTAGTTAGGGTTTAGTAAGAAGCAATAGCTCTAGGTATTTTAAACAGGAAGATGGAATGCAGGGATGGAATTCAGAAGCAATGCAATGAATTGGGTACTTATGAAACCAAGGGGAGAAAGACAACAGGTCAGAAAAGCCTCTGCTAATTCTCAAGGATGCTGGTAGCTTTCAGGGAGTTGAGGAATTGTAGGCACTCACAAGGAATTCCAGGCAATGATGGTAGCGCCAGCATGGGCATTTGTCTGGAAATATCTTAGAGTTGCCACAAAATCTCACCTCTGCCAAACCCTCAACAAATCTGCCTACCAAATGCCTCCAGAAGAATAAAATGGGACTTCTGCTCCCTCTCAGCCTTCCTGATATCATCTCAGTGCTGTATTGTCTGATGCTTGAATATCTGGGTCTTGCTGATCCAGGAGGGATTGTCCCTCCTAGGATTAGCTAATTTATAGAGATAGTCTTGAGACTACCCCTTTTACATGCAAACCAACCAATTCAGAGTCCATACCCTTAATCACCTCCTTGAATTGGGGGAGGGGGATGGCCTTCTCTGAGCCACTATCCATCTGCCCTAATCACCCCACCAGATATTAGAAAACTAGGATTGGCCAGGAGGCAGAGAGGTTAAGGAAAAACAGGAAGAATGGCCTTTATTGTAGTTTCCACAGGACAGATAAGGGGAAGCAGAATTAGCAGGTTTAGGACTGGCTAGATGAATCATTTCAGGACACTCATAGGGGCTATCCCTAGTTGTTGACCACTTTAGTTTCTAACTAAATGATTGCATAGTGACTCAGCCCCTTAATGACCATAATAGACACTGTGCCTTCTCTTCTTTCATCTCTGTCATGGATGCTGTAGCAATGAAAGTGAAATTTAGACATCCTTTTGGCAGGAAAAGGCATTTCCTCCTTCTAGTATGAGCTGAAAATGGATTTCCCAGTCACGCAACAACCAACACTTCTTGCTCAATATCTTATCTTTAAACCTCCCCCATCCCATCAGAGGAAACTAAAGCTTTGGTGTTTAATTACCTCCTAGAGCCTGGAGAGTACTGACCTCACCATAGAAAAATCACAGCAGGAGAGATTTTAGACTCACACACAGGTTAGCTACCAATATAGAGAACTGTGATGAGATATCAAAAAGACAGAGCAAGAAGAAAGAAGGAAGCACCAAAAACTAGAATAATGGATCATGTAAATAAACATCAGTATCAAATATGGAGTTTATAGACAACTGTGATTATGGTAGGGTGCTTTACCACCTCTTTGGGAAGAGGTATGACTTCCAGCTTGGATTTCAGATAAAATTTGGTTCTCCCACCCCTGGATACCATAATAACCCCTGTACAGCACTGATAAGCTCCCCAGGGGGAGCAGCAGTTCAGAAGAAGCTTAAGATATTTTTTATTCATTTATTCAATAAATGCTTATTGCTTCCTCTTTTTTTTTTTTGGACAGTTTAGTCCTAAAGCCATTTTATGGACTAAATGATGTAAGCATCCTCACCTGGGTTGAAGTTGTGCAGAAAATCACAGCCTGATCAGTAAGCAGGATGACAAGGCTGTGAAGTGGTAGAGATATGGCCTCAGTGGGGGGGTATCTGAGTCCATGTGGGGCGAGGAGAAATCAGCAAAGGAGGACACACTGCACAGGGTGCTAGACCTGAGCAGATGGGGAAGGAACCCCCAGAGGACAGGCTCGCATGCTATGTGGGAATCCACAAGGGTCAAGGCAGCATGATTGCTGGGAGATGCTGGGGTGAGATGTGAGCCTGAGTGCAATGAGGATAGTGTGGAATATCCAGACCCAAGAGACATCTGTGCCAGAAGGGAAAGGCAGTGGTGGGAAGTTGCTTATGTGAGATTGATCAAATTAATAAATAAGCTAAGGTACTACGGTGGTGGATAAAGAAGCTGGAAATATGGAAAGGAGAAAACTGTGCTGAACATTGTAAATCTGGGATTCAAGTTGTAGATCTCACTGAGTATTCATGGTCTTCAGGACATATATATATATATATATATATATATATATATATATATATTTGTGTGTATGTGTGTGTGTGTCTGTTTATATATATATATCTGTCCAGTAAGAGGGCCTGGGAGCAAAGACAAATGAGCACACCAAGCACCAAATCTTATGTTTTATTTTATTTTTTTTAATTTAAATTTTTATTTTTATATTCCCCATATAATTGCAACCCCCTTATTTTTACCCCAAGCCCTCCTTTCCCCTCCCCCACCTCCCATAGAGTGTCTCTTGTTCATAATTATTTGTTAATTTTGATATTTTCTTTCTTATAGTTATTCTTTTTCCTGGTCCCTTATTTAAGTTTTCTAGATTCCTGCTATGAGTGAGACCATCGGTATTTTTCTTTTTCTTTCTGGCTTATTTCGCTGAGCATGATCCCTTCCAGCGCCATCCATGTTGCTGCAAATTGCATGTGTTTATCTTTTTTGAATGTTGAGTAATATTCCATGGTGTATATGTACCACATCTTCTTGATCCAGTCATCTATTTTTGGGCATTTGGGTTGTTTCCAACGCTTAGCTATTGTAAATAGAGCTGCTATAAACATAGCGGTGCAGGTGCTCTTTGGAATTGATATTTCTGTGTCCTCTGGGTAAATACCTAGGAGTGGAATTGCTGGATCCTATGGAAGCTCTATGTTTAGTAGGTCCAGAAATCTCCACACAGCTCTCCATAGTGGTTGGACCAGTTTGCACTCCCACCAACAGTGCAGGAGAGTTCCTTTTTCTCCACAACCTCGCCAACATTTGTTGTTGCTAGTTTTTTTAATATGTGCCATTCTCACTGGTGTGAGATGGTATCTCATTGTAGTTTTGACCAAATCTTATGTTTCAAACACTGTTCTCCATGAAAAGAGGTAGGATTTTGGATAATTCGTCATTCCAGGGCTGGAGCAGGGAAGGGACAGAGGAATCTGGAACATCTTATTGTTTTGGAAAGTAATAATGGTGATGAGATATCAGAAAGACATAGAAAAGAACAAGATAAAAGGAAGCACCAAAAACTAGAATATTGGATCATGTAAATAAACATCAATATCAAAAATGACATAATGGATTATATAACCCATTGAATTAATTAGAAAACTAAAAAACCAAACTGAGATAAATTTTAAAAAATTGAAAAATTGATGACAAAGAGGATATCTGCCTTGTCTCAAAGTATATCTCTTCCAGAAGTCATGAGCCATGAAAAGATGAAGTTATTTTAAAGTGGAAACTGGCAGATATCACCTAGATTCAGTAACCAAGTAAGCATCATTGCTATGAGGATGAATCCTTGCATGCAACAAGCTCAACATGCAACAAGCTCAACATGCAACAGCTCAACATCGTTACTGTGTTGTTCCTGCCGAAGACGTGGAACTTGAGTCTCATCAGAAGGGACAATTATACAAACTTAAGTTGAGCAACGTTATCCTTAATAATTAGTCTGTAGTCTTCAAAAAAAATACAAAGGTCATAAAAATTTGGAAAATATTGAAGAAATAGTCTAAATTGAAGTAGATTACAGAGATTTAACAACCAAATGTAAGGTTCTCAACTGGT